AGCACTTTGGGAGGCCAAGGCGGGCTGGATCACCTGAGGTCGGGAGTTCGAGACCAGCCTGACCAATATGGAGAAACCCCGTCTCTACTAAAAATACAAAATTAGCCAGGCATGGTGGCACATGCCTATAATCCTAGCTACTTGGGAGGCTGAGGCAGGAGAATTGCTTGAACCCAGGAGGTGGAGGTTGCGGTGAGCTGAGATTGTGCCATCGCACTCCAGGCTGGGCAACAAGAGTGAAACTTCGTCTCAAAAAAAAAAAAAGAAAATTCCTCGTGACCTTTAATTCATCTACCAACCTTTAAAGTACTGGCTTCCCCAAATGCTAATTGGTCCTCTTCTCTTCACAGTCTCTTTTTCTCTATGCACAATCAGATTCACTCTGAAGGCTACACTTAGTCTGATTCTAGTGACTCTCAAATACCCTTTTCCATTCTAGACCTCTGTACAGAGTGTCAGAACCATATATCCAACCTCCAATAGCTATCACCACCTGTATGTTCCACAGACACTTAAAGTACATTTCCAAGGTTTGCCTCATTACTTCCTTTGGTACAGCCTGCATTTTCTTCTGTTTCCCATTTTCACTTTATAGTCCCAGCAGCCATGCATTTGCCTATGCAAATAACATGCCTGTATCTTTTCCACTGTACAGCCAGTTTACGACCATCTCTGTTGTAATGGTGGTCGTGTAGGAGTCGTTATCGTCTGTCAGCCTGCTGATACTACCTAAATCTAGGAGTCATCTCTAACCATAGTTACTTAATTGTCATCCCCACCTAACATACATTAAGCCTTCCCCAGTCTTAGGGAACATTGCCTCAAAACATTTATCACATAACATGTATGTCAACTTGTTTATTCATGTTCTTTATGTTCCTTAAAGCAACAGACTCAAAGTAGGGCATGCATCACAGTAGAATATACAAGATAGTATACTGGAAGGAAATAAAATACTAACAGTTTACATTCATTCAAGAGCAGTAATCATTAACAATGTAGATTTTCCTAAATGACTACTGATGGTTTGTAAATAGCTACAATGTTGGGAATATGTTCAGTACATCTTTAAGACCACTGCTCTGTAGGAAAAAAAATCTAGTATCATGTCATAATATGCCCACTGCCTACTCCATATATCTTTTCCTTCTTAGAACTCAAAGACTGTTTCCTAACATACTGTACCTTTTGCTATTTCCTGATTTACTAACTGGTTTTTTTCTCCCCATGAATTTTTAAAAGCTGATGCCCTGTATTCCTACAAAACAAATTCATTGTGAGTACAAAACTTTTATGTCCTCAATGAAGCCTCAGAATACAAAATGAAATTTTTCTTTGCTTTGTGATCCTTTACCTTGTACGTATTTCTGTCATTGCATCTATAAAACCTACTAAGTGCATGTATTTACATGTATGCCTCTCTCTTAGTCTGTAACTTCTCACGAGCAGGGTCAGGATTTTATTCATTTTGGTCTATCAGGCAACCAGTCACATTCAGGACAAATAGTGTGATCTCAGTATGTTTAGTATGAGATTATGAGTAAATATAGATGGATATATTTTCAGAGAGAATTTTATACAATATAAAACATAAATTAGGAAACTAGTCTGACCAGTAAACATTGTCAGAACTTAGGTCTCCAACATCTAGTTCTCACCCATTTCCGATCACTTCAGGATGAACTAGAGTATGCCCTTACAGGGATCAGTGTCATTCAAGGATGTGACTGTGGACTTCACCCAGGAGGAGTGGCAACAACTAGACCCTGCTCAGAAGGCCCTCTACAGGGATGTGATGTTGGAAAACTATTGCCACTTCATATCTGTGGGTAAGAAACACTCCTTGAATCTTTCAGTGTCATGCATCTCCTTCCATGAATTCCTGAAACATAGAACTTTCAATTTCAGGGATTAGAGGTGATGAATCCATTTTTTTTTTTTAGCAGAAAATATGATTATATCACTGGACTCAGTGGCTCACACCTGTAAACCTAGCACTTTGGGAGGCCAAGGTGGGCGGATTACTTGAGGCCAGGAGTTTGAGACCAGCCTGGCCAACATGGTGAAACCCCGTCTCTGCTAAAAAGTACAAAAAATATCTGGGTGTGGTGGCACATGCCTGTAATCCCAGCTACTTAAGAGGCTGAAGCATGACAGTCACTTGAACCTGGGAGACAGAGGTTGCAGTGAGTCGAGACTGCACCACTGCACTCCAGCCTGGGTGACAGCGAGACTATCTCAA